ACCTCCTGAACTCTGCCAACCTTTGCCCACTTTGCTCCACCACCAACTTGAGAAATCTTCCCATCCTCACTCGCTGCCTTGGTTTTGGCCTCAAGTCACTAAATAGCAATGGCCCAAAACATATTCTGAGTTTTTGAGCCTGAAGAACAGGCTCAAAATACAAACAGTGGGTAGACAATCTATAACTTTTACTCAAGTTACATACTAATTTCTTCCTGGTGTAGTCCTATTAAAACCAGCTGGCCCACTTAGAGAGCAAATTCCTCAGTGACTAAAGTTGGTATAATTTGACCAAGTATAATATAAAGGAAACATAACTGTCATCAAGGTAAATGCATATCTTACTAAAACACTTCCAGGGCTCTTTCATTACTATTTTGCCACCATCCCTGGCTCCATATACATCCATCCCACTGATTTCAGGCGGGCCTGTCCACAAAGAACTGTATTTACCTAGATGTTGTACTGGACAGCAAGGAAGAAATGGGAGATAACCCTCTTGCATCCCCACATAGTACCCCTCTAGGCATGTAGGAAGAAAAGGATTTGCCTTGATTGCCTGAAGGCAACTCTTTCATCAGCCAAACTAGGGTGTAGAAAGGTGGGTACGGATGCTGCTGCAGCCTGGTATATAAACAATTAAGTCTTCTCTTTAGTCAAGACTTGTTTTTGTTCTTTTTGTTTGTCTCTTTTCTTGTTTTCTAACAATAAAGCTATTTCACTACTCAATCAGGTGAGTGTTAACTTTTTATGAGAATCTACAACTTGCTTCCATTAACCAGGAAGTCAGTCACTGAGCACAAAACACGGGCAATGCTTTCCAATAGCACCCTGTTAGCAAACATGTAAATGGCAAATAGATCCTACTCTTTTAATCCATATCAACCCAAGCATAAACCATACAGCAAGCAATAACAGAGAATGACCATTCCCTTGGCAGGACTCATCAGGCAGAGCAATCCATAACCCCGTTAGTAAAAAGAAACAGAATAACTTAAGCCTTTCAGGGAACAGTAGCAGCTCTATCATTTTCTAATAATTCTACAGAAGCGCTTTCCACATGCAAACAGATTGCTTGCTGAATATAATTCCCATGTTTTTCCCTATGCAACTCAGCTAGTTAGGATTAGCCTCATTTCAGCAATGCACCATCCACCACGCACCAGCACCCCACGATCGCAGCACGACGTAAACCGCGGCCGCTGGCTTCAGCGCGTGAAACGCCGGCATGCGGTGCAGGGATTGCTTCCACGGGGACGTGCATCCCCAGGTGATTTTATCTCAATGCCCTGGATTATAAAAACTGCTGTGCTCTCGAGGAAGAGGATCCGGCCCCAAGTCATCTCCTCCCACGTGTCGCCCCTGCCTGGGACACGTCCCGCAGGAGCAGCCGCGGGGCCCTGCGCTCGTCGCCTCTCAGAGCTCAGCACGGAGACCCTCGGGCAGCGTTGGAAAGGGCAGAGGGAGAGGGAGGGCCGAGAGAGAGGGGTCACGAGGGGTTTGGCGTATGTGCATTTCCAGAGCTTTCACCCAGGAGGCAGAGTGCACGTTCGCCTATAAAATACTACTGCAAGCGCAGACTTTGGAGAAATAAAATTTCAGCTGTTATTGAAGATTTTATTACCTAAAAGGAATCTAAAAACAAAAACAACCCCACCCAAAAAAAAAACCACCTTTATTTATCGAGGCAATACGCTACGCTTGCCAAAGTAAAACTTATGAAAAGGACCCTTTGAACTCATTCAAGGAAATTAAATTGTTTGAGTAATAGCCTTGTACCCACAGACTAAGATACCTGCAGGGACGAAAAAGCACAAGAGGATTGCTCTGCGGCAGAACTTTATCATTTATGGAGCATAGTATCCTCTGAAACCTCGACATTAGTATCTATTAATTAGTAGCACTTTCAAGATATATTCGATGTTTATATGAGAAAGTGAACATACTTGAACTCTGCTGAAAAATTCAAATTAACATAGATTACTAGTACAGACGGTACAAGAATAAACAGAACTAGACTTAAGCACAAATGAAATTACATATCAACTGCCTTCAGACTGAAAAGTAATTTGACTTTAGGCAGTAATTAGAAGCAACTTGAAACCAAAAAAAAACAGGAGCTTGTGGAAACAGTCATAATGCAACAAAAACTGAACAGTCATAATAAACTAGTTTCTTTTTATCCTACTGAACATTGCCTAGTTTGGGAGAACAAACAACTTTTTCTTCTATAGCTCTTCTTTGGTCCCTTATGTCATTACAATAAAAGGAATTATCTCTCTCCAAAAAAGTAAGGCATAGGAAGAAGTTTCAGTTTTTGGTGGATTTAACACCCTATAAAATCCAATTTACATCACAGCTTTGAAATTTATTCGTAAAACTGATCTGCAGAACAGTCTCAAGATGACAGAGAAGCTATTTTCGGGGGTGGTGGGGAACAATTACTATTTGTTTTTGAAGTGCAAACTGCCATATTAAAATCATATTTTAAGATATTCTCTATCTATCTACAGTATAAAACAAGTGAAATCTTCCACCTTTTGAGGTTGGGATGAAAAGCAAAACCAGTTTCAGACTATTTTTAAGCAAAAACTTTATTAAAAAATAATCCTCTTGAAAGATGCAAGTTGCATTACAATATATCTTATTTACTGGGTAGTTTGTAGATAACGGGAAGACAGAACTGAAAACAAAACCTTGATGGTAAATTAGAGTTCCTGAAGGTCTGCTCATTTTCTGAAACAATCAGTTCTCTGTAACCTACATGCCTGAAAACTCATTATATTTAACCTCTTTCTGCACATTAAGTACATTAGCATCTAGTCTCTATTACGTTTGCTGTTCTCTAAAAGTTTAGGAATATATTTATGGTTACGTAATTGTCATGTCCAACAGTATGGGAAATGACATATTCTGAATGAGGCAAAACATTCAAATGTAGATAATAATTGCCCTGAACTCTAAATGTATGCAATTTAAATTGTTCTGAATGGCAAAAGTAGAGGCAACAATCAAAGAATGAAAAATCCATTACTGAAAGCAGCCATTCATCTAATCTGCTATATTTTCTAGATTTTAATGTATCAAAAACAACTGTTAAGCCAACAGTACATTTTAGTGCTTTTATAAGCTTAAGACAGCTTCTTGAAAGAGAAGACAGAGAAATCATCATGTTCTCCTGTTTAGGTAATTTATTCCTGATTATAACTCATGGATAACTGTGAGTTAATCTTTAATAATTTGTTCCCTAGTCAGAGTGCATATTGATTTGTCACTGCAGCATAGGAAGACTGGGCTGGAAGCAGTAATTAATTTATATCAAATATCGCGGTGAAAACATTGAGAAAAAACAAAGAAGAGTACGTAAGGCTAAAATACAGTTAAGGGCTCAAAACCCAATAGGCAGAAATGTTTGGAAGTGTGTTTTCTTTATAAAGTTCTATTAAATGTTTGTTTCAGTATTAAAGGCACATACTAAAAAACAGAAACCAAAAACCTAAATCACCTCTTTGTAAGCACATGACAAGATATGTTTTTCCAGAATAGAGCATTACACTATTTTTGTGAAAGGCTCCTACAGAACTGCCTGCCAAGGCTGGACTGAACCTGCAAGGGAGCTCTTCAAGGTTTTGGCTTAAATCTGGGGTCCCATAATATCCAAGTCTACTTCTCTCACCACCTGATTTGCAGGCCGGATATGGAAGTACACAACACAGAGAAATAGAGTCTGCATGATGAAAAAAGAAGAGCTAAAATCATATCACAAATAAATATTAATAAAAAAGTAAGCGTTTTTCATTTTTGTAGAACTTGGTTTTGTGAGCTGTATCTTTTTTTTTTTTAGAAAGAGGTTTCTATTATATGTAACATGCTAGCAAGGAGATTGAGAATTAGAGATCCTTTTTGCTTATGCATACACATACTATATAAGATATGCTTTAAATACAGTTCTACTTCCTCTAATTTTACATGTATATGTAGGCAACTTCATGCCCTATACAGTTCAGCCCTCACTTCAGTTAAACTCCTCTTACACAAATATGAATTCCAAGAAACTTTCTATTCAATGGAAATATATCATACGTAGGCATATATTTTGTATATCAATGGAAAGCTTATCATTAGCATAAGATTATCAGCTTTTTTTGTGAACAGCAAAAATACTGAAATCTGGTTTCTTTTATATCCCTGTTTTTACCTCCCCACTCCTTTCTGTCTTCCAATCCTAGTATTAACTTCATGTTCCTTTTATGACACTGACTGAGCAAGACACAAAAGGTACTGAGTAGGCAGATGGAAAATAGTTATAATTTTCATCCCCCAAATAAATGACATGTAAAAAATTTAGCAGCATCAATCTAGTCCTACAATCTGAGTTTGGCAGATATTACTTTAAAAGTGACAAGAAAAAGATTCTTAAAAATGGTGCTGTTCGCACTCTTTATCATGTAACATAGGCTACACTGTGTGTGCATGTTTATGCATATATGCACATACATGTGCATATACATATGTTAATATAAAAAATGTATTATTAAAATAAAATAGCTATATCTATATATATAGTTATATAGATTTCTTTTTTGAACAGATATTCTATCATTAAATTATTCTGAAAAAAAAATGAGAGTTCCCAGTATGTAAGAGGCAAATTAATGAAAAGGCTAACTTTTGCTTTAGAAGTTAATGCAGGCAAGGGGAAATTTAACTTCTAGATACTGTAAGTGGGAGAGCACTTTTAAAAAAATGCTTAAATGTATTTATTTACTTTTTGCATTTTGTTTTGTCTCATAGATATGCTATTGTATTACACAAGGGGTTTTATTTATGTTATTGGACAACGAATGGCAGCCACCTCGCTTTGGCCCTCCACGAATGGAGCAAAACCAATGCATCCTACTTGAGGGTGATGAGCGCATAGCACCGGGCTCCCCAGTCAGGTGGGTAATTGCATGGGGAGAAAATAAATCACTTTTGTGTTTCACCAGGGTCATACTCACAAGTTGTAGAGCATATCGGCCATGTTGCTGCGGTAGTACAAGGCATTTCTGTAGGCGCTCTCGGCTTCCGAGATCTTGCTCTGGCTCTTGAGAACGTTTCCCAGGTTGCCCCAGGCTGCCAAGAGGAGAGAACGGGATTCAGAAAGAGCAACAGTCCGGTTATACCACACACGGGATCCGAACGGCAGGAAGCACCGCGGAGAGACCTATCCCACCAAAAAGACCTTTTCAGAGGAAAGGCTGGGGGGGGAATTACTTTTTTTCCCATTATTCTGTAACAGATATAGGAAAGGAAAACCGATATTTTGCTTTATTTCACCTCTTTAAAAAAATCTTCAGAGCTCTGTGTAGGGCTACGGAATCTTCACGGAGCTTTTTTTAAGTCTATCTACCATAAACCACAAGAATTATTCCCAAAATCACCACAACTCTCACTGAAGTATGAAAATTGACAAATGACACAGGGATTGGAAGAACAGCCAGGTAAGTAAGAAGGATTAAAAGCATACCATATGGATATAAACATACTACACAGATCACTAAAATGCGTTTTCTCCTTGGAAAACATGTGGTTCCTTTCCATACCATTTATTATGTTATACAACATGCTTTTATATCCCATCTATAAAGGGCTGGAGGTAAAATATATTTTAAGGTTCCACATGTGTTCCTTTTGCACGGGTTGCTGAGCTGCACAGAACGTGCACTTGCAAAAGAAACTGGAACTAGCGTTTTATATAAAACATAGCCCATGTTATTCACCATTTAGGAAGCTAATTTAACTGGCATTATAATTATAGTTTATGTGCATACATGAAAAAACACATCATGCTTATAATACATCAAAGTTGTTTCATAAAACAGCTCTACTTTCACAAGTATTTTTATGAGCAGGAATAATGGAAAGACGATGCACGTCCTTTCCACAAAACATCCAATACGCGGCAAACTGTTCTTCCCTCCAGATGCACAGACCATAAACATTGGCGCAAGCAGCCGCTAAACTCTGCTCAGGCCCATTTTACAGGAGCTTCCACGTAGCCCCTGCAGCACAAACTTTGAGTGTAGTCTTAACATAACACTAATTCCTAGGACAATGATTATTGCAGATCCTGCACATTACTGAGAAGCTGCTGAGTTTTGGTCCCAAAGTTCCCCTCCCACAGAGGCAAAAGGAACAGGAAGGGAAGGAAAAAAAAATCCCCCAATACAATACTTTGCTTGCAGACAGAAGCTATCACTTCTGTGAATCATTTCACTGCAGCATAGTATTTTATATGAATAGAACTCAGTAAATTGACAAGTGTCACAAAAATTCTCCTCGTTCTCTTATGTAATGAAATGAAACTGCTAAAATATTTTCCAATTCACTCGATTTTTACATTCTTTGCTGGCAGAACATGCAAAATTCTGAAATTATCTCCCCCTTTTTTAAAAAATACAGAAGCAAACGCCATCAAACCCCAACTAACGCAACTCTAGCCAGCCTGCCAGCATTATACTTGTAAGAAAAACAAAAATGTTTCTTAAATTATTGGTGAACACATGCCATGATGTTGCTTCTGCAGTACCTGGCCTCTCATTTTCCAGCAGCAGGTGCCTAAGTAGTTTGTAGATATACTTGTTTTCACTCCAATAACCCATAGCAGAGGGTGACATTAATGATCATTTGTAGGATTGGTAACTATTTCCTACTGAAAAGTCATTTGCTTCCCACCAGCTAGAAGATCCATAAATGAAAGTCTGTATAGAAGGATCATTAAGTTCTTATTTTTATCCATGTTACACCAAAAAGCTCTTTTAACATTGTTAGATGTAAAATTTTTCTCCTGTAGACTTCATTTCATGCTGTACAAACTATTATTTAAAGAGTGAAAATACTCTTTAATGCACAGACTCCACTTTACAATTGACAAATTGCTAAGCACCAAGTTTATAATACCAATCAATATCTGCATGTAATCTTACAATCACATCCTAAATTTATCCCATTTAGGCTATTGTATAAATTTGTTAAACTATTTTAATCACTGGCTGTGAACAACCAATTTAATGTGATGTGGTAGAAGAATTACAGTAACGGGAAAAAAAATCCACATAAAACAAGATAATCTCACAATTTGCATTAAAAGTAATATGGAGACCATGGTCTGTTTGCTTCCGTAAGCTATAAAAACCCGGTATAAGCCTTTACATCTATTTATATGCAGAATTAGCTAAATGGATGATATAGTGGCTCTGACTGGACATTTGTGAAGCTCCATGGAACAATTTATAGGGTAAAAGTGCAAGGTTCTGCACCTGGTGAGGAATAACCCCAGACACCAGTACAGGCTGGGGACCGACCTTCTGGAGAGCAGCTCTGCAGAGAGACCTGGGTGTCATGGTGGATGACAAGTTGACCATGAGGCAGCAGTGTGCCCTCGTGGCCAAGAAGGCCAA